GCTCTTCCACAACGAACTCTTCCACGACCTCTACAACCACACCTTCTGCTTCGAGAAGTACCCCATGGAGGAGTGGGTGGCCTGGATGAACCTCTACCGGGTCTTCATCGGCTTCCTCTTCCCCTGGGTCCTGATGCTCTTCTCCTACCAGGGGATCCTGCGGGCCGTGCGGGGGAACATCTCCACGGAGAGGGAGGAGAAGGCCAAGATCAAGCGCCTCTCGCTCAGCCTGATCGCCATCCTCCTCGTCTGCTTCGGGCCCTACCACCTCATCCTGCTGTCCCGCAGCACCGTCTACCTGAGCAAGCCCTGCGACTGCAGCTTCGAGGAGAAGGTGTTTGTGGCCTACCACACCTCGCTGGCCTTCACCAGCCTGAACTGCGTGGCCGACCCCATCCTCTACTGCTTCGCCAACGAGGGGGCCCGGAACGACGTGGCCAAGGCCCTCTCCACCATGGTACGCTTTCTCACCAGCTCCAAGCCCCAGGAGATGGCCAACGCCTCCCTCACCCTCGACACCCCGCTCTCCTCCAAGAAAAACACCTTCTGCCGGCAGCCCCTGGCCCTCCCTCTGCCACCCTCGCAGGCTGCGGGGGGGACGCGGGACGAGGAGCTCCAAATGAAGATATTGACTTTTAGCCACTGAACTTCCAGGGCTAAACGGGGAGAGGACGGCACAGCACCCTGCTGGCAACCTGCCCGGGCAGACAGCCTGTACATACGGTATTGGTAAAATAAAATATTGTTGTTATTATTATAAGAACTTTGAAACTCCCGGGTGTTAACGACGAACCACACGGGCCACGTGAAAATGTACTTCTCCTTGGCTGCTCCCGCCTGGCCAGGATCCCCCATGTCTATTTATTTACAACCAGGGGTCATTTCCTGCAGGAGTGCACAGGAGCGGAGCTCTGGCAGTAAAGAGCCCAGGGGGCAGGCACAAGCAACAAGCCCCACTCCCTGCTCCCACCAGCCCACAGTCAGAGCACGAAGCAGCCAGGTAAGTTGCAGAGCTCCCCCGGCCCCCGGGTCCAAAACAGTCCAGTGGCACCTTCAAGACCAAGTTTTATTCAGGTACAAGCTCTCCCTCCTCTGTGAGGACAGATCTGCACATCGTCCCCCCTCAATAGCTAGAAATCCAAAACAGTCCAGTGGAGCCTGAGCGGTGCCTTCTGACACACTTCCGGTGATGTCAGGGGGTGTGGCACACACAAACAAGTTATGCTAATGAGTTATGCTAATGAGCTCCTGCACCTCTTTTTCTACTAAAGGACCCCTGTTTACAACGGTTTTATGCCCCCTTCCCACCCCATCGGGGTCCACGAGGCGGCAAGCGTAAATAACATCCAAACGTTTAAGCCACTGAAAACACAGCTAAAACGACAGCGTTTGATTTAAAAACAACATTAACGAACGACACTCGAAGGAAGACCGATAATTGGTATTCGGGGTATGCCAGACAACCCTCCCCCTTCAAGTTCTCCACGTGCTGGGGAAAGACAGCCATGGAGGGAGACAGACGAATTTCTCAGGGGAGGGAGTTCCAAAGTTTTGGTGCCACAATGGAGAAGGCCCTTTCTCCAGTTGCCATCCGTCTAGCCCAGTGGTCCTCAACAATGTTCCCTCTAAGCTGCGTCAGTGTGAGCTAGCTCACAGTTTTTTAGCCTCCGGCTCACACGTTTTTGCCTTCGCTCAGGAAGGAGGGCTCCAGAGCCAACTGATTGATGCAGCAGCCAAATCACCTGCTCACAACTTTAATGCCAGGAGCTCTCAAAGTAGAATTTTTGCTCACAGGACTCCACAGCTTAGAGGGAGCATTGGTCCCCAACCTTTTTTAGCCTGCAGGTACATTTTGAGTTCTGGCATTGGGCATTGGGGTGCGGCAACAAAATGGCTCCTGCGGGAAGTGGGGCCAGCCACGAACACGATCGCCACGGCTTCACTTCAGCCCCACAGCGCAGGTCCTTGCGCTGCGCTGGCAGATGCTGCCCAAAAATTGCACACCCCACCCCCAGTGGCCAATCAGAAGCCTTGCTGGGGAAAAGCCCTGCCTGGTCCCACCCACTTCTTCAAAACACTTGGTGGGCGCCGGAAAAAGTGTCGGCGGGCACCACGGGCACCGGGTTGGGGACCCCCGATCCAGCCTCAGATGGCCAGGCAACCAAAGTCAGACCTGCAAGGGGGACCGGAGGGAGAGGGGAGGCAGGTCGCCTTCACGGCCGCGGCGGATGCAGGAGCAAGGCACACTGATGACGGAGCTGCCACACATGGCAGTTCCCTGCATACTCTCCTGTCTTTTGGGGTGACTTTTAACCTCCTGCACGTGCTCGGTAGTGGCTCCACATTGGGCTCTTGGGCCTATGGCTATTGTGGCCGCCGTTCCACTTGTTCTTCTCCTCCCTCAGGCACCGCAACGGTTCTGTTAAAACGGGGAACAGACAAGTGTCAGCAGAGCATTGCAGAGCTACACTGCTCTAATGATCTGTTGCCATTTATCTATTTCAAAGTTTACCAGAACCTTTGCATCCGCAGGAGTTGTGGCTGTTGTTTTGCCGCCAAACCACAACTGACTTATGGAGACCTCCCAGGCTAGATCTAGGTGTTCTGGTTGATCCCAAGCTAAACATGAGCCTGCAGTGTGAAGTGGCTGTGAAGAAAGCTAATGCAATCTTGGGATGCATTAACAGGAGCCTTGTGTCCAGATCAAGGGAGGTGGTCGTTCTGCTCTATTCTGCTATGGACTCAGGCCTCACCTGGAGTCCTGTGTCTAGTTTTGGGCACCACATTTTAGGAAGGGTGTTGACAAGCTTGAGTGTGTCCAGAAGAGGGCAACCAGGATGGTGAGAGGGCTGGAATCCAAGTCTTATGAGGAAAGAGTTGGGTCTGTTTAGCCTGGGAAAGAGAAGGCTTAGAGGGGACATGATTGCAGTCTTCAAGTATCTGAAGGGCTGTCGTGTAGAAGATGGAGCAGATCTATTCCCTCTTGCTCCGGATTGCAAGACTAGATCTAATGGGTGGAAGTTACAAGGGAGTCAATCCCAGCTAAATATCAGGAGAAACTTCCTAACTGTGAGAGTGGTTGAGCAGTGGAACAGACTGCCTCGGGAGGTGGTGGGTGCTCCTTCGCTGGACGTTTTCAAGCGGAGGCTGGA